TCAGAGCTCTGAAACATGACTTGGCTAGCACGATTAAGGGTACCTCAAGGCCTAGTTCTTCTTCTATTATCTTCAGTGAAGTTCAAGGATGAAGAATCAACAAAGAAATTGGATTGAAGAATGCTTTAAAACCAAATTCGAAGTTGGAGCATTGAAAGGTATGAAGGAAGTTCAACAGGGGTTCTTTGGCTCTCTAAAGCTTGTCTAATGAGTGGGATATTGTCCTCCATTTTAGGGAAGTGAATGGAATCAAGAGGAGGGGTGGATGATGTAATTTGAGTTGAAATTATGCACAACTGCATCATTAGCAAAGTTCGACTTGCAAGTTGTCAAAACATAACCATTCCTTTCATTTTGATGTGCTAAACCTTTCAGGAAATTTAGTTAATCATGTTTAAATATCAAACACGTGACAAAATTATATTTAGAGGTCACATTAATCAATTTGCCATCTGACTGTAAATGAAACTTCAGCTCCAAGGTACCAACTTTGAATCTATGGTGCACACGACTCAAGAAGCTTTAGGGTATAATTCTCGAAGCATTTGAAAGAAAAAGTAAAAATTATTACAATATGCCAAGAAAGACTCCATTTGGATAATTGAGCTGAAAGTTATGTCCATTTGAATTTGTGAAAAACACAGAGATATTTTATACTTAGAAAAATTCTAAGTGTTGAACTTCAAAATGACCTATAATGTTCTTCCAAATTACTTGACCTTTCACTCAAAATTTGATCTTGATATCTGTAGATGACATGAAGTAGACCTCTTGAATTGAATTTTGGAATTGATATCACTCAAAAATCATAAAAATTGAAAGAGTTACGGTCTTTGGAAGATGATGAACAAATTTTGGGAAATTCACAAAAGACCTATAATCTTTTCAATTCTTCAACAAATTTCAAAGCATCCTCAAGTCTTGCACATAAAAACAAAGTGGTAGTAGACATCCCAAAGATTATTTTGGAAAAAAAATGGGATCGAGGAGATAAGAATTGACCAAGTTATGATCATTTGAAGTCAAACCCTAAAATTCAAAAGTCTTTCAAGGAGACTTGTGATCTTTCTCAACTTTTAGTGATCTTCCATTCAAAATTAGCCTTAGACTTCTGAAGAGAGCTTGTCAAGGACCATTTAAAGAGAATCATGGATTTGGAACCAATAAAAAATCTCAAATAATGAGCAAGATATGTTCCTTAGAAGTCAACAAACCCTAGCTCAGAGAGTGTCAAAATGACTTGAAACCCCTTTCAACTTTTGATGATTTTTCTTGCACAATTGGATCTTGTCATGTGAAGAGAGTTTCTTATAGATGATGATAAGAACCCATAGAAAAAATAACCAAATCAAAATGTTGAAAATTGAGAGTGTTATGCACTTGTGATCACTGAATCTAGTATTTTCTGAGTTAGGTCAAACTTATTGAATCAACCTTAAATCTTTTGGACTTTTTTTGGCGAAATAATTATGATGAATCATTAGAGGCCTTGAAATGATGTTGTCTTGAAGCACACTCAAATATGGAGCTTAAGTCTCAATGAATCTTGTTGAAGAAGGCATGGAAGTAAACACATGAACTTAAGAATCTTCTTGATAAATTTCACCACCAACTTTGAGGAGATCTTGACCTAAATAAAGTGAGAGGGCTCCTTGAACCACAAATATTTGATGTCGTAGATATGACCTTGAAGATTGAGCTCTTGTAATCTATTAGATAACCATTTGATTGAGAATCACCCCTCAAACCCTAGATTATATGGTGAGATGAATGCAATTATGATCACCTACAATATGAACATTCAAAGGAACATAAATACACATATTAAAATTAGCTAAAAGAACACATGTACAAGATACACAATTTATGGTGCTTGGTGATCCCTCAAGAGAGGACTTAAAGAGAGAACAAACCCTAATATGTGATCTTGATGTACTATGACATGAGATGATAAGAAATCTTAGGGGGGGAAATTGGAGTATAACAGTCGCTTGTCTGCCTTCGCCTCGGAAACGTCGTTGTGTCGCTCGTCGGAATTGCCACTATTGTTAGACCGTCGTCTTTTCCAATACCGCAAATTTTCTCAATTCTGTACATTTTTCAACTATTATGAAAATCCGACTTTTCTCGATTCTGCATGCTTTGTTGATTTCGTATGATTTTCTGTCTTTTTTCTGAAAACCCAAATTTTCTCGATTTTGCACAATTTGTCGATTTTGTACGGTTATTCGACTTTTCCTAAAATCTGACTTTTCCCGATTCCGTACAATTTGCCAATTCCATATAATTTTTTGACTTTTATGAAAATTTGACTTTTCTTGATTCCAGCTGCTCGATTTCGTACAGAAACTCAATTTTTGAAAAAAAAAGTCATATATGTATTTCTGGAAAAAATATACAGTTGTTAATATTTTCATGAAAATTGTTTTCTAAAGGTATATTAACATACTATTATCACCAAAAGACATATATTTCATCAAATTCATGTGATTTTTACAGTTGTCAAATAGATTCCTCCCAAATCCCATTTTATCACCCAAAATACTATATATATATATATATATATATATATATATATATATATATATATATATATATATATATATATATATATATATATATATATATATATATATATATATATATATATATATATATATATATATATATATATATATATATATATATATATATATATATATATATATATATATATATATATATATATATTGATCACCAAGAAGTGACTAAATGTGATTATCCCATTCGGGCACAAATTGTAAAAACGATCAACTCCACAACAATCCCAAACACATATATTGTAATATTAATAGGACTATTAACACTTGTGGAATATTATCATATAAACCCTGGCTAAAAGGGTTAGGAAAATCCTATTGGGTCAAAATACAGGTATTTCAATACAATTACAAAGCATATGGTAACAATCAATACAATATAACAAACATATCATCACAATCATACAATCATACATTATATGAGAAAAATCAATACAATTATAGGGTTAAAGGCCATTGGCGCTGATGAGAAGGTAAGGGAACCCTCATCATCGTGCTGTCTAAAATCCACCATATTGTAAGTAATATCCCTTTTACCTTAATCGGTGATTTACATATCTTAATGTTCCTCCCTCTCCCTTCCCAATGCATTGCTACTCTTTTCTCTCCAGATGCGTTGTTTCACTCAAAATTTCTAATTTCTCTCGTACCCTAGGTTCAATCCTCACGTTAAATATTTATAATCTCAATTATTCCCATTTGTTACACACCCAACACTCACACCCTTATCCCATAAAATATACTTTAACATATATTTTTAACGATAACAGTAACATAATTATAATATTTAATTTTTTTATTATATTTATTTTTTCTAATTAAATATGACAATGAATATTTATTTAAATAATTAGTAAACTAAAATAAATATCTAATAACAACTATAATATTTTAAATTATCATTAATAATTTTAATTACTTCTATTATTACTAAATAACTAAAATTATTTAATTACTTCTATTAATTTAAATAAAAACTCTAATTTTATCTCTCTGCTTTCGAATCCTATAATTTCCTTAATTACTAAATTACTAAAATACCCTCATATTTTCCCAAGCATTAAGATAGCACAATTATTCAAATTATTTCAAATAACACACAAATAAACACTCCAAAATTAATAATAAAAAAATACTTATTTAAAATTTGGGGTGTTACACCATCCATCTCATTTGCCGCATGTTTAACTCTTTATGATCAAACAAGTATTTCAAACTCTTGTGGTTACTAAACATCTCAAAATGTACTTCATACAAAGAGTGACGCCACACCTTCAAAGTGAATACAACCGCCGCCAACTCAAGGTCATATGTTGGATATTTCTCTTCATGAGTTTTCAACTGTCGAAAATTATAAGCCCCAACTTGTCAATTTTGCATCAACACTCCACCTAGTCCCTCTTTAGAGGCATCACAAAACATTCCATAAGACTTATTAAGATCTAGAATAATCAATAAGGTGTTATAGTCAACCTTTCCCTTAAATTCTTGAAACTTTGTTCACACTTTAAATTCCAACTGAAAGGAATCTCCTTCCATGTAAGGCGAGTCATCGGTAAAGCCAACTAAGAAAGTCCTCTAATAAACCTTATATAATAACCTGACAACCCTAAGAAACTTCTGACTTTAGAAGCATTCTTTGGTATTTCCTAATTAGTAACTGCTTCAAACTTAGATGGATCCACTGCTACTCCTCCTTGCGATATCACATGACCTAGAAAATTCACTTTAGTCATCCATAATTCACACTTATTAAGCTTTAAAAAGAGTTATTTCACTTGAAATATAGACATGACAATACTCAAATTGTCCCCATGCTCTTGTCGAGTACGAGAATAGATAAGGATGCCATCGATAAATATCACTATGAACATCCAAATAAGGATGGAATATCTTGTTCATGTAATCCATAAAGACAGCAGGTGCATTTGTCACTCCGAATGGCATTACAAGAAACTCGTAATGACCATATCGGGTTCTAAATGAAGTCTTTGATGCGACTAAATTTTTAGCTCGGATTTGATGATAGCCCAATCACAAATAAATCATTGAGAACACATATGCTCCTTTCAATTGATCCAACATATCTTCTATCCTAGGTAAGGGATATTTGTTCTTTATGGTAACCTTATTCAACTAACGGTAGTCAATGCATAATCGCATACCGCCATCCTTATTCTTCACTAATAACACCAGAGCTCCTTGGGGAGAGACACTTGGCCGAACAAAATGCTTACTCAACAATTCTTCCTTTAAGTATGAGGAAAGGCTTGTGTTAGGATAGAATAAGTGTTGAAAGGAAGTTGTCAAATACATCATTGGAGGAGGTTGTAATCAAGGAGAATCACATGTTTAAAAAGCTAGGAGGTGTATTGGGTGTGTGCATATGTGAGATCCCATAGTAGTCAAAGCTTGGTAAACATGCAAGGAGACCAAGACAAATCCTTTATCCAAGGAGATCCCATCAGGGTTATTTCTCATTTTCCATCAGGGTTATTTATCAATTTCCGATCAATCATTTTATCTGGAATTTCTATACATGCAAAAAAAAGGTCCTTCTAACCTTATTTTTCTTTGTGAAAGGTGCTCTTCCGTCTATCCTGCAAAGGTGTTTACTGTTAACCATTACTCATAACCAAAAGGAAACTGAAAATAATTTCTCTAAGATGGAAATCAATCCTGGAAAGTCTAATGAGAGAACTGTGGAGGCCAAGAACAAGAAGAACAAGGAAGTCGACCCCACTTCTCATTCAAGTGTTGAAGGACCACATGGTGGACCATCGATTGGAACAATTATACCTGGGAAGACTTAAGTAACTAGGATGAAGATTTTGTATAAGTCTCATGTGTAAGATAATGACTCAGATACAAATAAGGGTTAGGTCACCTTCATGAACTTAAGAGGTTAGACTAAAGACCAAATCTGAAGGGAGATTTTGATCCTGAGGATTGAAGGTTTATAATTTCTAGTAAAAAAATTTTGGCCTTGTATTTTGGGAATGTTTCTTTTGTTTTCCTCTTGAAGATTGGTTTGTATAAATGAAATAATGCTTATGCATCTTTTAATGTCAATATAATGGTTTTTCCCATGATCTGGTTGTGTATGTACTAACATACTAACCTCTACATGACTGACCTCTAGCTACTAGTTTGAAGAACTAACCCTTTTCCAAATTATGGCAAAAAGGGGGAGTGGTGTTGTAGTGTGATCTGTGTTACCAATAACAGGTAACACATAATTGTTTAGTACTGATCATCTTGGTAAGTACTAATGATGTGCTCACCTGCTGGAGCATCAGGCAAGACATCTGGCCCTTTAAGTGAGATTTTGTGTTAGTTGTTTCTTACATATCTTGTACTAATTATTAATTATCTATTTGTACATGACTAATCATGTGAAGAACTGCATGATGATAATTGTTAGTTGGGAGGATTGTATCTTACTAACTATGTGCTACTAGGGTTCATGCATGACTAATTTTATGAATGATTACATGATGCACTGTATTGTCTGTTTGGTTTGGAGCAACTGAATGGATTATGTGTAAACATCTGAATGATGTTTACGCTATTGATTTCTGCTACTACTGTTGTGCTTAACTCTGGTAATTATAAGAATGTTATTGTTGCTGATTGGATGCTCTTATAAGTCCATTACTCATACTGGTTGTCACTTGTTCTATTTTGAATGAGTTCTATATCTAGAAGATTTGTTTTTCCATATTTTTCCAAAGGGGGGAGATTGGAGTTCCTTATGGAATATCTATTTGGATTGGCTGCATTTTGCAAAACAACAACATGAGAAGTGTTCAAAGTGTTCAAGATTATTTTGGCTTGCTTAAGATGTATGGAGTCGTAGAAGGGACACATGCAGGACACGACGTCACAACTTGTTGGTACGACATATGTGTCTTGTACAACAGAGCATTACTATTGCATTTTGAAGATTCTGTAGTCAAAGATTGGATCATATTTTATTGTTATTAATTTAAAAATATGATTAGGTGATTTGATTGACATCTGGATGAAGAGGAATTCATATTTAAGTTGATTTAAATTGAAACAAATTATATCTTTTTGGAGAGATTTAAGGAACAAATAATATCCAATAGATTCTGCATTATTTCTAGATGAAATCAAATCAAATATCCATGAAGAAAGGCCCAAAATCATTATGATATAAGGAGCTCAAACCTACATTGGAATTCAAGCATTCACATTGAACATCTTAGAGTGATAGGTTTAAAAGAGTCCTAGTTATTTTTATGTACACCACAATATGTTTCAGTAACTTGGAATAGTTGTAGGTTTGTCTAGTTGAGTTGTAAGATTCAACATCACTCATAGTTGTGATTGAAGTTGATCACTTGGTTTAGGGATTGAAGTCCAAACACTAGGGGTTAATGTTTGAGAGAAAGTAATAATGTGTCTCATATTTAGGGGAGTCCTAAATAGAAAGTCATTGGATAGTGTTAGGAAAAGGAATTGAACAACACAGGGTTTGTTGTTTCTTGTAAGACTAATTGTACTAAGCTATTAATAGTAAATTTCCATTCTTGAGTTGGAAGCCAACCCTCCATACGTAGGTGCAGGTTGCATGAAACTAGTTTACCAATTTATTGAATTATTAATTGCTTTTATACTTCATCATCTTATATAATTTAATCATGGCGACACTAGTTTAACTTGTCAAACCAGTTGTTAGGACATCGCATCCGAAATTTATCCCCTGAGGAACAAAATTCCAGGATTTTTTTTAATAGCGAAGGGAAAATATGATAATATTAAAAAAATAAAATTAAAATAAACCAAGTTTAACATGTAAAAAAAAAGCACCGGTGGTGCACTAAAAAGGACGTCACTAGCAAACAGGAACAAAGCAGTCCAAAAAAAAACAAGCAAAAACATGCCAAAACCAGTAATCTAGACACCGACACACAATCAAACACCAAAAGAAATAATCCAACCGCATCCTTATCTAATCCAAACTAAATCCACAACACAAAAGAACCTCTAGAGAGTAGAAGCTCGAGGCACGAAACCTCGAGCACCTACCAAAACAAAAGAGGGCAATTGTGCCTCCCCTAAACCATGCACCAAATCAAACACCCCTAAATCGTTTGTGGCAAAGGGCCCAAACTACCCAACCATCTAAATACCATATACCAAATAATGAAAGCAAACTCGCACCACACAAAGAGGTCGTGAGCCGACTCCACATGCCACACACACCACCTCACTACTACTCGACATTATACGATGCCTTTGGAGAAGCCTAGTCGACATCCTATTTTGAAGCAACTGCCAAGAGAAGACAACGAGTTAAAGGGGCCTCAACTCTTTAAAACTCTAGCAAGCCCCCTAAGCATATACTCATACCTGATATCTGGCCACCCAACCGGAGAAACAAGAGTAACATAAGTTGAACTCATAAAAAAACTCACCTAATATGTCTAGTCTCGAAATTAAAACATCCTTCTGACTAACCCTTACTAACCCTAAGATAAGACCATGAAGGGACTCTAAGAGCTTCTCTACCCAAACTATAAGAGGACGCCTCCATCTAAAGTTCCACTCCCAAACGTCTTCCTTTCAACTACCTATTGGGCCAACCACTTGAGATTCTTACTCTGAAACAAAAAATAATTGCTCAAAAGAGATATACAACAAAGTAGATCTAACCCAAACATTGTGCCAAAACCTAGTCTTCTGACTATCTCCAAGCCTCTTAACACAAGAAGAGCCAAATCAATCAGCCTCCAACCTCGGGAATGTCCTAGAAGCAAAACTCATCTTCGCCACTAGAACACCCTACCCCCGATGGGGAGCCAAAACCCAAGGAACAATACATCTCAAAAGAATATCTCTCCACAGCGAGGGCATATTCAAAAGAACCCTCCATCTCAACTTACTCAACAAAGCTAGGTTCACCAATCTATGATCCTTAACTCCTAAACCACTGGCCCTTTTGGTCTTGCACACATCCTCCCACTTAACCCACGCCCGCCTTATCTCCCCCTTTGGAGCCCCTCCCAAAGAAACCTCACATGCATACAAACCAACTTCTGCCAAACCAAAATCGACATATTCAAAAAAGAAAAAAAGAACACTGGGATAGAATTAAACTCTGAGTTCAGCAGGACTACTCTCTAATTGAGACTCACAAATATATTTCTCCAAGAAGTTAATATCTTAGATACAAGCTTAACTAAAGGATGGCAGGTTCGTGTCTTTTGCACCCACCAAGAGTCTTAGATACTTAAAGAGAACAATATCAACCTGTAGTGCAAATACTATTCAACCCTCTCCAAAGAAGCCATGTCCACATTAACACCAAATAGATAACTCTTAGCGAAATTAACCCTAAGACCAGAGGTAAGCTCAAAAAATTTTAGAACCACCTTCACCATCAAAATATTATCCACTGACGGATCCCCCACAAAAACCGTGTCACCAATATACTGAAGGTAAGACACCTAGAGCCCTTCATTCCCCACTTTGAAATCGCTAAACAGCCCAAATGAAACAGCTTTTTTTCAAGGAAGCGCTGAGACATTCTACCAACTAAAAAAAGGGAGCTAAAGAGTCACTTTACTTCAAATCTTTTTGAATACTTATCTCCTTGTAATTGAATCTCTTATTATTTCTACAAAATCATATCACATAAATGTAATAGTTTTACAAACACTAATAATAAATATTTGGTGTAGTTATTTAAATCAATATAGTAGTTATCTCTTAAAATGGCACTAAGGAATTTTGGTTTTTTTTAGAATATTGGTTTCAAGTCCATTTGAATAAAATTCTGAAACAGTGCCAATGTAAAAAATAAAGGTACGATTAATAATTCACAATTAATTATATATATGATTTTGGCCGCACAAAAAATTATATATGTGATTTTAAAATAACTATAATTGTAATAAAATATTTTTAATAACTCGATAGTAATTATAAATATAATTTCAAATAAATAGGAAAAATAAGAGTTTTGTTATGTAAACACATAATGGATCACACAATCAATCATTGACATATATTATAGATTAACTAGAAAAGCTCGTGGCGTTGTACAAAAGCGTTAGTGCGCTTCACTTTCACACTCATACAACAAAGTACAAACATTCATGACCTACAAAATATATGTAAGGATCATGCTTTTTAACAACAATAATGCATTTTAACGACAAACTGGGAATGTTTCAGCATATGTTATTAATTTAAATTCATGCTTTATCATAATTTCAGCATGAGGCGACAATTACAGACTGAACGGCATTGATAGATTTGACAGTGATTGTATTGAATCCAGCCATATGGATGACATGCTCCCACTCTTTTAGTGTTCTTTCTTTACCAATGTTAGTATGTGCCATCATCACCATGTCTAACATTAACCTTACGTCTTCATATTTGTTGTGTTTTTCTCTTTCTTCTTCAATAACTACGTCAACAATAATCACTTTTCCATTTTCTTTTGGTATAGCTTCCTTACAATTCTTTAAAATTTTGATGCACTCTTCATCCCCCCAATCATGCAAAACCCACTGCATACACTTCAATTAATTAGTATAAGATTCCTTACTAATAACAAAGTTAACAGTTAAAAATATTAAATAATGAAATATTTAGTGTCTATCAATGCATAATACACATGGATATAACAGTTCAAATATGAATCCGACCACATACCTTAAAAAATATAGCATCAGCTTTGGGAATACTTGTAAACATGTCACCTACCACATGTTGTATCCCATCATACTTTAGAGCCACATCAATGACATGTGGAAGATCAAAGTTGGTTCCTTGA